TTTTTTTTTTTTCTCGACCCCTTATTTTCGGGGTGCGCCGCACCCAGCGCGCACGCGTCGTGAAGCGCACGTCGATGTGTAATGAACCCAGATCGTGAAGACATTTGTCAACAATGCAAGCCCAGATAGATATCAACCTGCTGATGATTGTCAATAAACATAATCGTGCCCAGATAGAAAGAGATGGGGGAAACATACACAGATGAAAGAGAGAGGAGGGAGAATAGACTTAGAACGAAGAAGAAGACAATGCCCACTCCTGCTTCGGGTTCCCTCCTCGCTCGCCACCTCAATAATCAATAGTCCAAACACAAATCTGAAGTTCTATCTCAACGTGCCACGTGGCACGTCAATCAGTCCTTATCAGCGAGCTGGAGCAATGTCAACGTCGAAATAACCAGGTACGTATCTACTATCGCCCCACAGTCATGATCTCCTCCCGAGTGACGATGAATCAGAACAGCAATACCAGTCACGTAGCCTCGCCACATCAGCAACAGTATACGTGACAGCGGCCACATCAGCGGCAGCGCGTGGCAGCTGCCACGTCAGCATGCCCAGAAGGCAATTGCCAGTCAGGCACCATGCCGAGCCAGCGGCGCGTCGCCGTAGTCGTCCAAATGCCAGCGTAGAGCCAGCGTCGCAGTGTCGCGCTAGCGTCGTAGTCAATGCGGGAAGTCAGCATTGACGCAAGACAGAATGTTTTCCAAGCCAGGAGGTCCAGGCTTTTGTAGCGTTGACGCGGGGTCTGGACCCCGGTTGCTGCTTCCCTCGGCCGTCGAGATCTCAAGGCAAATGACGGCCCAGATAGGCCTGAAACCGAACTCCCTGTGGCCTTGATGCTGTCTGGGTACCTGCGCACAACAAGTGAGTGTATCCAACCAGGGGCCTGAGCATGGTACCTTTGACAGTTGACTTAGACTGTTGATTTTCCCAAGGCAGTGTGTGGTCACACTGCCTGGCACAGGCCAAGTTTGGCCTGTGTGGTCTGGGCTCCGTTCGAGGCCCAGACTTCTGCAGACACGGGTTACTGCAGATGCGCTGCATGTATGGTAATTACTAATTAGTAATTACGAATTAGCCCATTTGTGGCCTGCTTCTAATTTTAATATTGGGTGTATGGACTTCAGAATCTCCTCCATCGTATCGTTGTTGAGATGGCATCCAGGTCTTCCTTCCCCTTGCGCCTTGGACAATCTTCTGCGCATAGTTGAAATGGATTTGGGCCTTTTGTCTGTAGGGAAATTCTGAGGATACGCCAGACAGTTGGTTTCAGA